CTAATGCCGTATTTATTAAGCAGTTCCTTGCCAAGATTTTCACTATGTCTGTAATGGATATCGAAGTCTGTTATTTAAATGTTTGCAAGGCGTTGAAAATTTACGGAATAAAAAGAGTTTCTTCTGTGATTAGTGGTTTCTGAATACTACAGATTGTAACTGAGCTGTAGTAACAGTGTGACGATCCGTAATCCGCATTCACACTGAGCGAAGCTGATATTCTCATTCAAGGACTGAGCAGAAGTGATGTCAGGTCAAATAAAATTTATTGCTTTGGCAGATAATGGATATCTGCTTCTCCGCCTTTTCAAATGCAGAAGCAGCAATACGATAGGCCGAATGGCAGACATGCTGCGATTAGTGATGCCTGGCCCGGTTAAAATCGAGTCTTAGATTGATCTTAAACATGGTTTACTGTTTATCATGAACAGTCTATTCCTCATCGTTTGTCTAATTCTAAATGAATTCTGTTCGACGCTGTCGCTTCCTTTGCGGTGGGCGATTTCCTCTTTTCGTTCTCATTTTTCCAAACCATAGAACATTGGCCTCTGAACTGTGAAGTTTTGTTGTCTTGGATCATTTGTAGTTGTTCATTAATGACCTTATACCACAGCATTTTGGAAACATTTCGCAACTAGTGTTGATGTTAATCACTTTGTTAGGCTTCATGACATTCCAGGACTAGGAATATTGGGCGTTTTCAGGTTATGTCGACAGTAATCTGCCTTTGTTGTGACAATTTTGGTATCCGGTTTGCTTTTCTTGTCATTCAACACTTGGTAATTGGCCTGAGCACGCATCGTATAGAGTCGATGCATGAGTAGGGAAGATTCCAACTGCCGAGGTTCAGAATTTCAGAGCCATGGCTCTTTGCTGATGACAGTCCAACTATTTTCAGTTGGTGCGCCCCCTCACCATGTAGTTTCTGCTCGTTTACTCTTGTTCCAGTTTGCAACTGCGATCTCACGGTCAGTATCATTCTCGAAGAACCTTATGTGTCATTCTTTAATGGCATCGCGCTCTCTGCTACCTCCGTTCAGAATTGTAGAGATTCTAATGCTGACTGGTATCTTCGTCACCTTCTTGTAAATATTCGGCAGCCATCGCCGTGCTGTTACGCATTCAGCTGCCAGACGGCAGGGCGAAAATGCTGATCGCTGACTTTTCATGGTCTGCCTCAGTTTCCCAACGGCTCGCGTGGCTCAAGTCAGTCCGTGAGGGGCAGGTATTCACCTTTAAGGGAGATTTCGTCACTGTCCCTAACCCATATCATTTCTTATTAGGGCTTTATATCAACAGAGAGGGAGCACAGAGCCACAGGTTTATTATGTAATTGCGGTTTTTTATAGTGTAACTCAGCGAAAGACCTCGCATCGTATCATCACCGGCTGGAAGCATCCGAGAAGATGGTGTCTGATCTGAAGTCAAAATTGCATGAGGAAAAAGGCGCACATGATCTGGCTCAGACAAAATTAGACGAGGAGCGGCAGGAATTTGAGTCTTATAAAGTGAAAGTGCTGACAGTTCTGAAACAACAGCGCGCAGCGAGCAACAGAAACGATGAGCTCGATGATTTGGAAGAAAAGTAATACTTCCGTTTATATTACATTTGTGTAAAAGAGTTCCAGTACCACTGTAGTATTCTAATGCAGCCTCCACGAATTTTCATGTTAAGCGCTAGTTGTGTTGAGCTAGAAATTCACACATCGTCGTCCATTGCAGTTATGCGGTGGGGCAAATAGTGACGAGTTAATGCCGATGAAACAAGTAGGCTATTTTGATAAGTTGCCAATATTTCTGATCATGCTGTGCAGCGATATTCACTCCGTATATCTGTAATGCACCTTGGTCCACGTAAGAACTTGCTCATTGACATATTGAGCGCATGGTGTAGCTCGCAGCTTCATTCGCTCTAACGGCTCCTCGAAAGAACAGTTTTGTTGCTTGTGTCCTGTATCACACTCTTTCGGTCGATATATGGCAATAATGATCATGGCTGAGGATAGATGAATGAATCAGACTTAAAGGCAGATAGCTTGGCGCTTTCTTAATCATCGTAGACTGATTTAGCTTCTGCATAATAGCTCGGTCTATCCAGTTTGTGTCTGTTTCCGCGTTTTATCTGCCATCCCTTATGAATGCTACCCGGAGGTACCTGAACTTTGTTACTTGCTCCAGGTTGCACTCCACTCACCTGCGTAGCACGATGAGTGTTCTCTCTCGAAAATGTTAAAGCTTTAGTTTTTTTCAAGCATTTAAATCAATGAATCAGCTATTAGAATGACGTTCAGGCTGGTGAGTCGTGCCATGGTTTCTGCAAGGCAATTATTGTTGGTGAAATCCTCCAGGAACATTTCACGAACACTTTTGGGGCAGTTTGCGTTAATCATTATTAGAAATACCCAACTGTTTCATTACGAAATGAAGTCATACTGCTTACACAAAGTTCCAAATACTTTTGTATACGTTGATAAAGTCACTGAAAAGCAGCAGAAAACCATTTTGTTTCAGTTTTCGGGTTTGTCAGGTTTTGTCGGGTGAGGAACAAATGCCAACGTTTCAGTCATTGTAGCTCATTAATCTTATTCGAAACAACACTTGATATATGACAATTTTGGAATATACGCTGCGAAGTGTTTCGCCCTGACCCGTGCGATCCCTTGGTTTGATAGCTCGTTTTCGACGATGGCGACGCCGATGTTGGAGTGTGATAACCGATTTCTACGGCGCTCTTTTTTAGTCAGTTTCTTGCTCTCTAACCAGTGGAAGGAATTATCTTTCTGAGTTGCGCATCTCCATGGTTCTTTCACATAGGAACTTGATTTGTTCTTAAAACCAGTAATCACTGAGGACTGACCAGATTACGAAATAAAATCACAGAATGAAGTGTCATGGAGTGTATTTCTTTGACTGCTGCGATATCTACGAATACTTGTACCAGAAGCTGAGTTTGTTGATTAGGTAATAGAAGCCTTGGGCTGTTTATTGTTTTCGAATTAGTTCTGAGTAACAGAATTGCATTCCGATCACGAAGTTTAGCAGAAGATTATGGCTGCTCTCCAAAAAGCACCCTGAAATTATTTCCCTGTGGCGTCTACCCACTGAACGGACATAGAGTCGCCTCTGGAGGTTTAGCTTAATCTTGGCAACTCTGTTGGAAGTATCCTCTAATTTTTGCCATCGTCATCATCTTGCATCCATTCACTTATTTGAATTTAATGTTTTGCGTCTACTGCACTTAAATTTTCAGATCCTGTTTGGAGAAGACAGTTGCCTCGCTTCAGGAAGAACTCCAGAAGCTAAGGTATTTGCTGACTGTGTCGAAATACTATTTTACGTAGTGGACAGTCGCTTCACACATACTGAGACAGACGGTCGTAAAACTAGGTTTTTTAAACTGTTCCATACTGATTCTGAAATTGCACTTTGTCATCATCGTTGGGACAACACCTTGTACAGGTCGAATATATATATATTTTTTTTTCAATCAGG